TACATAATCTCTTGAGCTTCACTGCCCAGGTTCAAATTCCAGCTGGGCCGCCTTCCAGCAGTGTGATGCTTATTATTTAATCTGGTGCAGAAAAGGCCAGGCAAGCTGCACCGAAGATTTGTTGTCCACCATAACAGCGCATCTGCTCTGTCTGCGAACGCAGCAAGGGTTGTTCTATGGGAATTTCTTTGGAAGCCCGACACACACCCACCCTAGAGCTCTGGATCTCGACCCTTCCGTCTTCTTTTTGTTCCCCAAACTCAGATGACTGAAACGAAATACAGTATTAGTCCCAGGGGGGCAGAGCTGCCATGCAGACGTGGTGGGAGCAAAGGGCAGAGAGTGCTTTAAGGGAGCGTCACCACTCAGACGTGCACAGACCTAGATGGAAGGCATGGCAAGAAACAAGAGGGTCACAGTTTAATAGTTTTGCTTCTAAAAGTTTCTGGGATTCTCTAGCAATAGTTTTCGACTTAGTCTGGTATAGCATGACCAGATGGGGTTTTAAAAAATATCAAAATACATTTTTTTTAAATCTACCAGATTTGTTAGTATCCCCAAATTTGATAACACTTATAAAGAAATATAAGATTGAGTTAAAAAAAAGATTGAGTTCAATATTATAAAATCTATTAACATAACTCCTATTATTAAATGAGAGAAAAAAACATGATCATCTTCATAGATGTGGAAAAGAGTCCACCAAATTCAGTATCTGTTCTTGATAACAGCTCTCAATAAACTAGATATCTCCTTAAAATGATAACCTAGTTCGAGCTCAATCCAAAAGCCTGCAAGATTGCTTAATGGGAAAAACCTGAATGGTTTTCTGCTAAAGTTAGAACAACATGAAAATACCCACTAAAAGCATACTGCTTAACACTGTTCTGATGGTGCCAGTCTAATTTAGACAAGAGAAAGAAATCACAGGTGTAAAAACTGGAATGCCTAACGGAAAATTATCACTATTTCCACGATGACTTAAAAGAAGAAGTTTATGAGACTGAATCAAATATTAACCACAATTAGTAACCAAATTCAGTAAAATTTAAACAACTCAACACCAGAAAATTAAGATATGTGTACAACAGGACACAAATGAAACCAGGAAAAAGAATATCATGCCATATGTGTAGAGAAAATGTAAATATACCGAGTCTCCTTAGTTTATCCATTTAATGTGATTGAACTAGATATCCTTGAAGACAAAGCGGGTGAATAAGCAAATGTGGTAAAGACAGCTGATGGTGCCCGGCTATCAAATGATAGAGCATCTGGGGTCTTAAAGGCTTGAAGGGAAACGAGTGGCCATCTAGTTGAGAAGCAATAAAGACCACATGGAAGATGCACACCAGCCTGTGTGATCATGAGGTGTCAATGAGATCAGGGATCAGGCACCAAAGAACAAAAAAATCTTATCATAGTGAATGAGGGGAAGTGCGGAGTGGAGACAAAAAGCCCATCTGTAAGCAACTGGACATCCCCTTACAGAAGGGTCGTGGGGAGGAGACGAGCCAGTATAGGCGAAGTATAGCAATGATGATACATACAACTTTCCTCTAGTTCTTAAATGCTACCCCCCCACCCAGCCCCATTGTCATGATCCCAATTCTACCTTACAAATCCTGCTAGACCAGAGGCTGTACACTGGTAAGATAGATACTGGAAACACAAGGACAGATGAACCCTTCAGGACCAGTGGTGAGAGTGGCGATATTGGGAGGGTGGAGGGAAGGTGGGGTAGAAAGTGGGAACCAATTACAAGGATCTACATATAACCCCCTCCCTGGGGGACGGACAACAGAAGGGAGACATTGGACAGTGTAAGACATGACAAAATAATAATTATTTATAAATTATCAAGGGTCCAGGAGGAAGGGGGCGGGGAGGGAGGGGGAAAAATGAGGAGCTGATACTAAGGGCACAACTAAAAAGCAAATGTTTTGAGAATGATGAGGGAAAAAAATGTACAAATGTGCTTAACACAATGGATGGATGTATGGATTGTGATGAGTTGTATGAGCCCCCAATAAAATGATTTTAAAAATGTATGAGCCCCCAACAAAATGATTTTTTAAAAAAATATCTTCCTAACAATGACACAAAACCCAGGGACCATAAAAGGAAAGATGGATAATTTTAACAACTTGCAAAAACTGTGATAAAAATAACCTTTACCAAAGTCAAATATCAAATAAGAAACTCCTATTAGAAGTTAGTTGTCTTGATTGATAAAGTGCTTCTTCCGATCTGACTGGAAGAAGACCAGTAAAATAAAACAGAAAAACAGGAACAGTTCAAGGAGAGGTCAGGAGGAGGTGACACCAATCAATGGCTCTGAATTCTATGAAAAGGTGGGCAAGTTCATTGGGGCTGTCAGAAATGCAAGCTTTAAAATACTGTAGTGCGATTCTCTTTAGCCTCTCAGATTTGCAAATATCCCCACATTTGATAACACATTCTATCAGCAAGGGCTGAGGGAAACAGTGCACTCAGAAATCGCAGGTAGGGGGGAATCTGGCACAACCCCCACAGCGGGCAAATGGGGTATCCATCAGAGTCACAGTGAGCGCACGGTCTTCTTTCTCCCTGCAGGGCATTTCCAGGAATGTATCTGCTTAACTGTATTTGCACATGGTGGAAATTCACTGGTTGTGGCACAGTTTGCACAGCCAAAGATTGAACCCCTTTAAGAGGAGTTCAATTGCAGACTGGCAAAAACGGACAGCGCTGCCCCCAATGAAATGATTTTTAAAAAATCTGTAAGAGCCCCCAATAAAATGATTTAAACAAACAAATAGACAGACAGACAGACAGTGCATTCACACCAAGTGGCCACACTAGGAGGTTATACAAAGTGATGAGTAAGCGCTTTCATGATTAATGGTACTTTTAATCAATCAATGATAATTCTAACCTAAAATTAAAATGTGAAGAAAGCAAAGTGTAGAAGAGTGTGGTAATGCAGAAAACAGACATTTCTGTCTGCTGGTATACATCTGCAATACTGTTGACCGTACAGAGCAAGCTGACAGTGGAAGGGAATTTTGGATTCTGGAGAAAAGCAGCAGGTGGCTGGGGTATAATGGAAGACTTTTCATTGTGCATTCTTTTTTCTTTCTTTTAAAATTCTTTTCTATTTAAAACCTTTTTGAACTATAGTTATATCATCTATTTCAAATGATAATAAAAGCGGCTAAGAAGACTAAATTAAGAAACAACAGTTACTAAATAAATGCTGGCAAGAAAGGCCTGGTCCAGAGATCTTGAGGTACTCGAATATAGGTGGGTTTCAATAAGAGAAGAGGTGGACTGCAAAGATCCCCAGCAGAGCTAAAGACCAGATTATTGGACAGTGTCCACAGTAACCTGCCGTCGTGCTTGGTGCAATGGCCTGACGGATCCACCAAATGGAAGACAGAGAAAAAGACTAAATCAAAGTTCCAAGCGATGTTGAGAGGCAGAACCAGGCACTGCAGACACCATCCAGAGAAAATGGAAGAGAAACAAACGCCAGCTCGCTCGGGTGTTTACGAGCAAGCAGCTCTGTAAGCAATTACAGAATGGTGGCGGGCTCGCCCTGGAGGAGGAGCTGTAGCTGAGTGCACACAGAGTGACCTCAGCAAAGCTGCAGAAGCCTTAGGCTGCGCTATGACTGCCTAAAGCAACAGGGTCCTGTGTGTCACACAGCTCAATCCGGAGCCTTCTATTCTGCCTGAGGGTACCGATATCGAAAGGGAAAATGAACAGAATTGACAAGGATATGGAACCAAATCAGAAGAAATCTAATAAGTTTGGCCTGACAAGAAAGACTCAAACAGTTTATCTTCAATAAATGGAGATATATATGGAAGACTGTTGCTTGAAAAACGGAGAGCCCTTGGGGGGCGGGGAGGGAGGGGAAAAATGAGAGCCGATACCAAGGGCTCAAGTACAAAGCCAATGTTTTGAGAATGATGAGGGAAACAAATGTACAAATGTGCTTGACACAACGGATGGAAGTATGGATTGTGCTAAGAGTTGTACAAGCCCCCAATAAAATGATTTAAAAAAAAAAAAACTGAGCCCTGGTGGTGCTGTGGGATAAGCAGTGCCTTGCTAACCATTGGGTCAGAGATTCAAACCCAACAGCTGCTCCTAGAGAGAAAGATGAGGCTCTGTTCCTGTAATGATTCACAGCCTGGTAAACCTTATATAGGGTTGCTATGCATCGGAATCAACTGAATGGCAAGGGTCTGGGGCTTAGGTCATTTGGAAGAGGAACCACTATACTTGTTTATGGTGCTTCCAAGGTGGGACTTGGACCAATGAGAGAAGAGACCAGGGTAACACTGGCATGGTATAAGAAAGGACATTTTAACAGGGATTCAGTAGCGATGGGTTAGGCCATCTGGACAGAGGGTGTGGAGTCAAGCGGAGGCTGCACTGCCACATCTTAAGGGTGTATGAGAGAAGGGCCCTGACTAGAACGGGGAGTGGAATGTCTAAAATGTGATTCCAAATGAACAGCTGGGGCATGGGAGTGCGTACTTCCCTAGAAGCAAGGAAATTGGACTGTTAGACATGTTTGTAAATCCCTTATCAATCATGCCATTCACTCTGTTCCATTCAGATCTGAGTTAATAAATGACTTTAACATCACCTTAATCTTTCCTTAAGGGGGCACAGGTCTGGCTCTCAGCTCCTACACTCCCTTTCCTTTTGTGTTCTCTCAGATCCACCCAAGCTTACAGACTTAGGCCTGAGAAAATGAGTCTGCAAATTCCTTCGAGCAGAAAGGACACGTTCAGCTTTGTGTTCACTTCAGTACCCAACATTTGTTCACTGTTCAGGCTGAGTGCTGGATGCACGCTTGACAACGTGTTGAACGGAGAGTCAGGGAAGAGAACACAGTGGACATGGCACAAGAAAATTGGAAAAACTTAGGGTCACGTGAGTTCCCGAGGTGCTCACTTGCCAATAAAAGACAGCCCTTCTGTTCTCAAGCTCCCGGGGCTTACCATTACTGATTTCTGGGAGGTCAAACTTAGTGAAGTCCCACCACTGAAGCCGGTAGGTCGTATTGGCGATGTTACTGGCCACGGCAGACTGCCCATCACCAATCACAGCACCTGGTGTGTGTGGGGAGACAAAGGGAGCATATTATATTATTTATTGACATGTTTCCATTGTACAACAGACAATACTGTGATGAGGAAGAGAGTTGGGAGAGGAAGGGCTGGGATGAAGGAAGCTGACGAGTCCCATCTGTCAAATTCCTTTTTTGTTTTTTTTGGTCAAATTCTTATCTCCAAGAAAAACCAGATGTGTTTCCCACAAAGAACAATGCTGCATGGGAAATAAAATCCAGTGCCCTCCCCCAGCCCCCTCCCATAATTACGCCACAGTACTTTAGTGCTCACAGCGTGGTAGGCAGGGTACAGACACTGTCTGGGAGGCTCACAGTCTAGGAGAACAGGTGAGTCTCAGTTAAAATGTGAAGCACGAGGAGAGAAGGGAGGTGAAAACAGGGGCCACCAGTACCACAGAAAAGCCAGCAGCGGGGGCCTGGTTCTCACTGTAGTGGGTGGTGCTCTTTGGGCACCCCCTCCTTTTGTCTATCTCTTTCTTCCTCGTCAAACAGTGCAAAGGGAGGCTCTCTCCCTCCAGGGAAGAGGCAGCCAGCATCAAGCTGATTGGACAGAGAGGCAGGAAAGAACAAACAAGGTAATGTTTGGCGATCGCTTCTGAACCCTTGGCACTGGAACACAGCGGACTTTTATAAGCCTAGCTTTGCAGCCTAAGAATATTTTTATTAAAGCAATACTTTATAATTCCCCACCCCCATGAGGAGGTCCTTGAATTGAGATTCACTTGTAATATTCTCACAGTTTAGCTTTCTGAGATATATACTTCTGTATGACATTTTATTCCTTGGTAACCAATTAAATAAAAAATGGATTTAAAAAAAAAAACCACACAGGGTGACACTTTAATTTGCAGTTGTATTTCATTTACATGAACATGTCATTTCCTCCTCCTCCTTCCGAGGAGCATTTCATAGACAACCACCCTTCTGATCAGACATAGCCAAACCCTCCTGGGAGAATTTGTGCTAGGCAACCTACATGGTGTTCACTGCTGCAAATCGACTCCTACTTTGAGGCACTGAACTTGTACTAGCCTTGGAACAATGGACAACTTTATACCTAGATTCTTCTGAATCCCCCCGTCTCCCTCCTCTGCACATCACACTGCAAAACAGTCTTGCTATCAGCATTAATATATATCTATTTAACCTGCTCTTCAAGAGCCGGTGTTTCCCTTTCTTTCCGCAGTCAAGAGACTGTTGAGGGATGATCTTCCCTCACAACAAGCCATGAACTCAGAGGAAAGTCCTCTCCTTCTCGCTGCCCTTGTGCTGCAGACCATCACATCAAATACTTTACACCTGCCTTTTCTTGACAGCGCTCTGGCCCGTTTCAAGCTGGAAGGGGTACGAATAAAGGATGGTTCATTTCCAAGATGATGATACTAGTATGTTACATGCCAACTCAGTGCACGGGGAACAAAAAGTTTGTACAAAACATTGTTCCTCTCCAAAAGGCCACAGAATACAAACGGAGCTAGGGTATATGAGGGGGCTTCAAAAATGTACAAAGAGAGTTAACAAAGAGCTCATGGATTTTTTTCCATGATCTTTTTTGAAGCTTGCTGATACTAAAATTTCATGAGAGGAGAAAAAGCTGGTGGGGAATGGGGGATCTGAAGAGGCTCCTTAAGAAGGTAATAGTGAAATTAAAGTTGAGAAACATACTCGACATAAATCAATCTCTCTCTAAACAACAAAGTCTAAAACCTTGCAATCTAAAACATAACCTCAAGTAGCCATGCCCCCACTGAAGGTGGCACTTGGGGTGTCATCAATGAGTCTACTGACCTCAAACCCTTTTGAGGCTCCTGGGGCCCATCACTGAGATGAGGTCAATACATATCTTGGACTTAACCTTCACAGAAACTCACCTACAATGATTTCAGCTGGTTTTGGCAGTGGTTGCTGAACTCTGGGTCATGAGGAGGATTAAACTGCCTACAGTCCTTTGTTAATAAAAACTTCACTCATTAATCCCCCCCCTCCCCCCCCCAGTTCTCAGGTTTACCATATAACTGGAGAGAATTACTCTGCTTCATTCTGACTGGGGCTCAACTCCACTGCGTTTCTGCATCAGTCCTCAGCCCTCTTGCTATAAACCCACTTATCTCTCTCAAATGACTTCGTTCCTCTTCATTTCCTCCCCACCTTTTAACAGGAAAGCAGATAACCCAAAACAGGAAGGCAGGTTGACTTTCTCAGGACCCGATGAACAAAATGCTAGGAGCTGGGAGAGGGAAAAGAAGAAACCACCCAACATTCTGGAAGCTTAAAATCTGGGGAAGGGGACAGGAAGGGGCACTAGCAGGTACCTGGAGAGTGCTGTGAATCTACACGAGGGAAACACGGTAACTGAGAGTACAGGCTCCAGGCCCAGCAGCATCACCCCATACAGTCCCTGCCCCGAGAAGCATCTCTGGAGAGCAGCTGTGCACTAAAATGAGCACGCATGGGCATGCTGCGTGGAACAAGCTAGGGAGGTGCTCGCTGCCAGGGGTGACAAGGAGCTGAAGGAGGAACAGAGCCCGGCACAGGGAGAGTCAATTTTCAGTGCCATGTAAACAGATTAGGGAGCGAAAGATGCCAGCAACAAATTAGAGTGTTGTCACTGGGCTCTCTTCTGGCAGAACTGCAGGCCAACTGAGCCTGTCTCTTGGAAACATCAGGAAGAAAAAGTACTACCTATGAAAACAGCCTAATCACTTGGTAGGCCTCAGGCCACTCAACTGAAGGTATAAGAAAATGCCAGAGCGACTTAATGGACCGAGCATTTACATAGGAAGCACTTAGCCTCTGAAGTCAGAGCCCAAAGGACCACTGAGGGATTTCTGAGGTCTCAAGGTTCTCCCAAGTAATACGAGAATGGACTAGTCAGACTGCTGCTCAGCCTCCACTGCGGACACTGTGGGCAAGAGAACGCCTCGTCTTAGGAGGAAAGGGTCTTGTGTGTAGTAGGTGATTTAGCTTCTACCTACTGGATGCCAGTAGCACCCCCGTATCTGGCTGTAAAAATTCAGTGCCTCTAGATACCAAATATTTGAGGTGTGGGGGAGTGGAGTGGAGGTGGATGTGGGGATAGTCCTGGGATGATAAACTCCCAAGCTCAATAAATGTAGGTGACATTTAACCCTTAAAAGGCCCATACTGAAGTGCTGGCTGTTGAAAACAACCCAACTGTTAGGGATACTGCTTATGGAAAAGAACCAATCAGAGACACGGCACTATTCACTCTTCCTTCCAGTTTTCCACTTCTCCCATGGACTGGTGTCTTGTCTGAGCTGGGAAACCCTGGGGAAACCCGTATTTTAAAGCTGCTGCTGCTGCTGTCCAGACGTGGTTTCTGAGAAGACAGCCTCCAGAGGCAGGTGCGCTTCATTTTCGCACTGCAAATGACTTAACCTATAAGAACTTTCGTTTCTTTATCTGTTAAAAAAAAATGGGGGCGGGGGGGTTAATAACAGTACCTACAACTTAGATCGGGTTGTTGGGAGAACTTACTGAAGTAATGATGATAAAGTGATGGCAAACACTGCCTAATAAATGACTACATTATAAAATTATTTTAATCACCAACTTCCATCTCTGTGTGCAGTTCCTCTGAACATATAGGGTTGTCATTGAAGGCTCATAGAGGGGGGCCCTATTATAAGTGTCTGGTACAGACAACAAGCCAGAGCCAAGAGAGAAACAACCCAAAGCAAACCCATCCCACTGAATCGACTGTGACTCATAGTGACCTTGTAGAACTGAGCGGAACTGTCCCATTGGTTTACAAGTCTGTAACCTTTATGAAAACAAACTGCCACGTCCATCTCCCACAAAACAGAGGGTAGGCTTGAACTGCTGACCTTTTGGTAGCTGAGGTCTTTAAACACTGTGCAGCCAGGGCAGTTAGGTTAATGCCTAGGCCCTAGATTCATTGGGAACTTTCCCTTTTATTCAAGTTCTTTCTGGAGGCAGCAGAACAAACAGCGGTCCTTAACAACAGCCAGTTCACTGTCATGGCAATTCACTGTCTATCATACAACCTAGAGGTTTGTGAACTCTTTTTCCCCCTTAGAGCCTCCGAGTAAAAAAAGGATTATTTTGATGAAAGACAAAAACAGGGAGAAATGAAGCTTAAATCTAGTGATTCTGGCCAACTCTTGGGAAACAAAATCAAGCTGCTAAGTCTCATTCTCCAAGTCAGACCTTGGCCCTGAAGCCTCCAGGATGCACCCAGGAATACAGTGCCAGGAGTCACGACTATCTCACGGTAGGTGGGCTCGACCAGGCAGATAGCCTGCGCGCACCTCTTGGCCTCACTCAGACTCCTCCTCTCTTCTGTTGCTTGGAGAGAAGTAGGAACATTTTTCTAAAACAGCTTCTTAGCCTGTCTCCAAGTTCTGTGCGAGGAGCAAGGGAATAAAGAGTATGATTCAACAGTTCAGCCAAAGTACTGAACAATGGGAATCATTAGTAAATCTATCAAAAAAGCTAATTCGAGGAAGGTAAAAGAGGGCAGATGCAAAGAAGGAAAGGACGAAATTACGTTCCAAACCTACAAAGGCTGCACTGCTCGAGACTGCCTTGTTCAGGCCACCACCTTTGCTGGGAAGGTGGAGTAAGCATGGGGCCAGGGGAGCACACACTCGGCTTGCTAACTAGTCAGCGAGTGCATACTAAAATACCAGGGCAGGTGCAACCGAACAACTGATCCCTGTTTTCCGGTTCTTCTTACAGAGCCAGGCCCAAAGACCACATGTTGTGCGACTCCATTTGTGTGCAATGTCCAGAATCAGCAAAGACAGAACAGTTCAATGGTTGCCAAGGGCTGTCGGGGAGGAAAGGGACGGGCACAGTGACTGTTACTAGGTATGGGGTTTTTGAAGAGGTAATAAAAATGTTCTGAAGCATACAGACAACGGTGATGGCTGCACAATGCCACAAATACATGAAAACCATTTAACTGAACACTACTAAATGGTGAACTTACGTGGC